GGCGCTCGGCGCCGTGGCGGGAGGCGAGGGGGCCGCGGGGTGAACGCAGGGAGCTGAGCAAGGGGTCCTTCTTCAGGAAATTAAAAACAAAACAGAACTTTTTTCTTCCCTCTTGCCATCATTTTCATAATAATTTACATGATAAAATTCACAGGTGTGTAAGTGCTGGAGCAGCGCCCTGTGCCCTGTGTTGCTTTGGCTTGTGGAAAAACCTTGGCGTTTCTTTTTGTTCTCTTCAGTGAATGCTCGGCGCGAGGGACATACGTAGAGGCCAGCAAAGGTTCCCCACAGATAGTGTTTTACCCCTTCTGTCCAAGGAGATTTTTGCTTGGAAGGGGATGGGGAAACAGTAAACTTTTTTACATGCGTTTAGCAAGACAAATAAAGAGGCTAGAGAGAGAGAAGCAGTCAACTGGCCGCATAGGCCGGTGCCGGCGACTTCTCCAATGGCATAATGAGACTCACAAATGTTTCTAGCTCTCCTAGTCAGAAAGATCATGAAAGTCTGACGCGTTGCGATCTTTCACATACTCAGAAAACAAATGAAGAAATACTCTTAATAAATCTCCCAATTTGTTATTCTTAAAATCCCTTACTTTTAAATCAGTCGTGTATTTTTGAGGTCCAGGTATAGTGTGTATTGTGTATTTTGCGCTAGCAGTCTTTCGCTTTGGAGATGAGCTACCTATAAAAGTGAGAAAATCCTCCTGGAGAGACTAATGCGTGTTTTTCTAGCAACCGGTCCAGTAACTCCCTGAGGTGGAGGCACTGGGCTGCCCTTGCGGGAAGGCAGGCCTGGAGTCTGCCCGAGGGCGGCCTCCGCTGTGGATCGGAGTATGCCAGGGGACAGGAGGTGAGCGCGGTCACTGCAGGAAAGCACCGCATGTCCAAACCTTTTATTAAGGTTTCTGCCCAAAGCGTGGTAACGAATGGAGGCTGAGAGGAGCTTTCGTCTGGAAAGCCTGGAGAACCAACGCCCGTTTCCAGATTGCCGTTTGTGAATCGCTGGCCTAGAGATTAATACAAAACAGTAGGGCTTTCAGGATCCATTGTTTACTGTGTGGATACCTGACTGGTCTGTAGGAGAGCTCTTTATCTGAGCTAAGTTTTTCTGCAGGAAATCAACCACCCAGAAAATCTGCTGGGAAATGAAATCAGCTCGCTTCTAAGGTCTGTTACATGACCACATCCACATAGGTGGAGGGAAAGCTAACATGCAGAATAAAGCTAACAGCAGTTAGCTTTAACTCCTTCTAGATTGAGGCCTCCCATTCTTTAATGTCATAGACTTTACATTCCGATGAACGTTTTGGTCATTCGCGTTAGGGACTGGCTATGCTTCTGGCTGTACTCTGAAACGGAATCCAGCCCTAGTAATTCCTTACTGGCCTTGTCTGCAGCATCCAGATAAGCTCTTGCTGCTGGAAGTCAAATGTATGGCCCAGCTTGAAAACTGTCACGCTCTTCTGTTTTGTACTAGCTCCCATGCAACAGGTAGATGCTGAGTTGCAAAACAGGAATTGTAACTAACTCCAGATTTCTGTGCTAATCTCTTACTGTTAACCAGGCTATGATTTGCATTCGGTACTGAAATCAGATACAGTACAGATAGAGGCAACCTGTCTTCTGGTAACCTTTGATTCTGAGGCGTGTGACACCATTGAAGATTATAGGGTAATGCAGAAATCATGGTGCAGCCGCTTCCACTGCCCACCATAAAGTTCAGACCTGTCCTGTGGTGGAGACAGAGTGTGTACTCTTTCTCCTGTAGACAAGGATATTCCCCTCTAGCTCTTAGCAGGATGTATGTGCAAAACATTACTGTGCAACACACCCACTGCCTTAACATCTCCTTCTTGTCTCAAAAGACCCAACCCAACACTTTCTCATCAAGGTTCTTTTGGTCTAGTATGATCTCTATCATGTTGTTGCAAGTTTTACCCGGCATAGTCAGAAGGGCCCATATACTGCCTTGCAAGTTTCTGAGCACAGGTAAAACGTCAGATGTCATTTGAAAGAGGTGTGTTGTCCGCAAGGTGGGACAACAAGTAACCTTACCCTGCCTTCCCTGCATGAGATAAGGAGGCCTGAAAGCCCTGGTTATCTACCTCTGGGAGGATTGTTCTAGCAGAGGTCTGCGTGACACAGCTATAGGCAGAACTGTTGTAAAAACAGTCTGAAAGGGCCTCCTTGTGGGAGGCCAGCTGGCCATGGAGGAGGTGAGACTTGCTGTCACCACTGACCTGATAGGGGGAGACTAAAACCTGGTGGGAAGGGAGACTGTTACCCCTTCCAGCAGGAGAGGTGAAAGGGGCTAGAGCACCTGGGCGCAGCCACCACTCCACAGAAGGGACAAGCCAAGCAGAGAGCCTGCAGTGGGTGCTACCTATCTGCTCTTCCAGGACTCCTTCACCAGTGCCAGCAGGGAGCATGCATCCATTGCAAGCCTTGTGCTGGGAGCTAGGCAGCGGTTACCCATGGAGCAGACCGGGAAGGATCTTTAGTTTAGATAGGCCGCGAGGCTTCTGAGTATGTGAGTCCAAAACAGCTTGAAGTTTGCTGTCGCCCTGCTTCATCTCGTGTGCTTCACTGCACTAGCGCTTGTGTGATTGTATGGTGGCCCTGTTAGGGAGCTGATCTAGCTGACAGCAAATCCCTTTTTTTGGCTGGATTAGTTTTCAGCTGGGTCAGCTCCCTGAACTGCCTCACTGCCTCATGTCATGAACCTGACAGAAGGAAAGGGTGTGACTGTGTGTCTGGGAACAGGGTTAGGGGAGTCTCTGACAGCTTTAATTTCCATTGTCTTAAGCTACATAACTGCGTCATCTGTGCAAATCCTCCTTTTCCAGTTACCGTTGCCACCACCTAGAAATAAAGGACCTAACTAACAGGCCTTGAAGGATTCAAACCACTTAGTTTGTCAAAAAGAAGAATGAACAGTGCTTTGTTTACTATATGTAAGTATCTTCACAGAGAGAAAATATCAAGCAATAAAAGCCCCTACAATCTAGCAGGGATACAGGGATAAAATAAAAGCACGCTGAAAAGAAAAATAGGTGGAAATTAAAACCAGCTCAAATTGTGTATTGACCTGTAATTGTAATAATTGCAGTAACCTGTCTTGGGGAAACAATGGTTTATTCATCTCATGAGGGATTTGAATCAAGTCTGCAGACAAATACAAATTATTGAAGGAATCATGAGTTACATGGAGAGCGTATATTATACAGGGAGAATATGAGTACTAAGAGATGGTTAATCATTCTCTGTGAGCTTTAAAATCCGTGAATTTATTGGGGAGGGAAACAGCACCGTCTGTAAATGAAAACAGTGACAGGGAGAAGCAAACGCCAGGGCTCAAAGATGCTGAAGAGATTGCTGGCTGCTTCTTGACGGGGTTGATGCAGTTGTAGTGAGACCACTATGCTCCTCCTGTGCATCGGCTCCCAGAGACTTGGATGATGACAGAATGTGAAAAAGCTGCTATTTCAAAGTGAAAATATGTGGTGGGGAAAGTACAAAATCCGTGGGGCAGAGCCCGTGGGCAGCTCGCCATATAAGTGCTTCACATGACTGAGGCTGTACTCCCTAAGCAACTTCGCTGTTTTTCTGTACTCCCCTTTACTGTGTTTGCCACCTGCAGCTTGAGCATATGGTTACGAATCCTGAGTTTGCTCACAAGTCCCAAAATAGAATATATGTTTTCTCAGTTTGATTTGCAAACCCTAGTTCTCCCCAACCTCCACCTTCCCCCTTCAGCCTTTGTCTTCTCCTGCGTCGCTGAAATTTCTAACGGTTTGTTCTCCCCTGGGTTCCAGGAAACTGTGTGACTAATTAAGTGGTTCGGGCAAGCTCAGGTGCAAGGGAAAACAAGTCAGATGACAGACGGCTGCCCCCTTGCTCCACTAAGTGCATTCCATCTCAGCATGCTTCGCAAGGGAGGGCTGGGGCAGCAGAAATCTCTACAGCTCTAGTTTGTAATGGAAAAGAAAATGCCGGTCTTCCTTGGGCTTTCCACTCCAGAACCTCACAGCACGACTGAGTCAGCAAAACTGAATCTACTGCTGCAGAAGCAGAGGTGCCTAGGCCTTGAACAGAGGCACAACAGTCTCTTTCCTGCTGGAAGTATTTGGCCTGCGTACGTTGTCATACGTTTGAGTAGCTCTGTTCATTCGGGCTTTTGAGCAGTTGCAAGTGTATACATAAGACTTCATGA